TATATATATATATATATATATATATATATATATATATATATATATTTGTGTGTATATATATATGTACATATATATATATACATATATACAAATATATATATACATATATACAAATATATATATATATATACATATATACAAATATATATATATATATATATATATATATATATATGTGTATGTACAAACATCGAACCCACCGCGAGCTCCCAAGTAGTGTGTATGTGTGTGTGTCTGTAGCAGCATCTTGCTAGCTTACAAATTCGATGCATTTGTATATACGGTGTCCAGAAGTTACATTCATTTTATGCAACTTCTTTTGTTAATAAATTTTTAACGAACATTGAGCGCCAATAAATAGCATTGACCTTCCTGAGGGTCAAGGTCAATATCAAGGTTAGTCGGAAATCATTTGGAGCTATAATTGTAAAGCTTTACCAAAAATATTTATTTATAGGTAAAAAACAAATTTTTTAGAAACTTTGAGATCGAAACTCTCTTTTATAAATAAAGTTATTTATTCGAGATCCTTAGAAGTAAAAATCTTCTAAAATCAAGACTATTAGTGAATAAAAAGACTAGATAAGGAAAGTTATTCCAATAAAAGACTGCTATGGTAAATTGCATGCACCAATCTAACAAGTGTCACGCAGTGTGGCATCATCCAGTACATGTAAAATGTATGACATAAGAGATATTGTACATATACTTCTGATTCCGTCTACAATTTCTAAGTCGATGTGGATCTTTTTAATACCAAGTAACACGAATCGATTACTGAACGTAATAAGAAAGTGTTGTATAATATAATTAATAATATTACATCGAGCTTCTAGCTGGAAGTAATACTGGAAATGCCTATATGAGGAAAAGTAAGAAAAAACAAAGAAGACATACGTAATACTTTCCAGTCTAATTATTATTATGTGCCTATGAAATTTCGTTCGTATATAAAATATATTTGCATATATATAAATCATGTTATTGTACTCTCTATTTCTAAAAGACAGGATCATGTGGGACCGACGAAATATCACAAAATTAGTCTACTTGTATTTCATGACAGTGACGTCATGAGTGGATATATCATTTGTATTTTGCATCTATAAGCTGTCGCTTTTAATTTCCATAAATCGTTTTTATTGCGACGCAATGATATTTGTACAAATGTTTCTATATGTATTTACTAAATAAAAATAAAAAAGCAACAAAAACAAGAGAAGGAGAAGAAAAGGTACGTGGTGTGGCGTTATTGCCTAATTTTCAGCTTTCCGCTTTTTCAGAGAAGGTCGGTCGAAAACCTGCTTCATACCAGCTGCTTGATTATTGTGAAACTTGAGGTTTTGCGCAGTCTCCGATATCCACGGCGAGTCAAATTGCGTAGTGTCTTGATCCACCAAATGAGTATACTTGGTTCTGCCGCTGCGGCCAAAGTTCTTCACTTGCATGACCTTCGGCAGGATCGTCTTGTCAAAGTGATCCTCCAAAGTGGCGCCGGAAAAGTCGCGTTTAAATATATTGTCGTCCTTGTCCAAATAGAACGCGCCACGATGATAGTACTTTTGTAGGAACTTATACTTTCCTTTGGCCGCTTTGTTGGTGATCACTTTCGGATTCAGTCGTGCCTCCTGCCTTCGCTCCTCCTCTGTCATATTGCGTATACGCTCGATCTCCAGACGCTCCTTCTCCATCTGCTCCCTTTCCTCACGATCTCGCTTGATTCTCTTAAGTTCGCGCAACTTCCACGCCTCGTACTCTACTTCGTCGTTCTCGTCGTCCGTGCAAACGTCATTCAGTTTGCTCTCCTGCTCGACGTTGCCCTTGCCAACTTGTGCCTCTTTCCGCACTGCCTCCTCCACCATTCTCAGTGTCTGCCGTTTGCGCTCCTCGGCCAGCTTCTTTACCTCGACCTCCGCTTGCTTTTGCCGCATCGCCTCCTTCTCCTTCTCCATCACCGTGATTCTGTCCTTCTTGCGGACGAATACGGGCTTCAACCGCGGCCCCGTCTCCTCCTCGGAGTCGGTATATTCCTCGTAATCTGAGCTCTCTTCCGAGCTCTCGCCCGATCTCTCCTCCTCCTCGCCTTGTATCAATTCCTCCTCCGTGTCCTTCTTGGAGAGTACACGCTGCTTCAGCGCCTCTCGCCGTTTCTCTATCTCGGAATCGGACAATTCCTCATCCTCGGACGTGTCGGAACTTTCCAATTTGATCCTTTCGCGCGTTCTCTCCAGCTCTATCTCGATCAGCTCGGGCTCGTGGATATGCCTGTGCCTCTCGGTGCGTATCTCGGTCGGAGCCTCCTTCTGCCGTGTTAATCTTCGTAGACGCGGGTCGTCCTCATCCCTAGTCCTCGCGTGCGAATGCGCCGGAACGTCCGTGACTGTTTCATTGTCGTCATAATTCTTGAGGACACGCTTCTCCAAAAAGTCTTCTTCCTCTGATTCCTCGTCCGAGCTCGCTGCGGCGTAATCTGGTCGCTTGCCAGAAACGTAACGATGCACCTTGACCTTTTTCATCGATAGTTCACCTGCAACAAGCAAGTTAATTCAGAAAAAGAAACTCGACATGTTGTAGATTGCAAGAAGTATCTCAAACGTGGACATCCCACGTTTCTTAAGTCTAGATTCTCAGGTCTGTTCTTTGTTGCTGAACTAATGTGTGGAAACAGATGTACAGTTGGTGGAAAAGAAAAAAAGACAACAAGGAGAGAAGAGAATTAGCCAGTTCGGCGATAAAATCCATATAGCACAAATGTTTACTAGATATCCTAAGAATGTTCTAAGAATATTCAAATATTTTTAGAACGTTTTTAGGATATCTAGTGAACATTTGTGCTGTATGGGAAAGCGAACCTCTCGGTATAGCTAATATATAAATAGATAGATATATATATATATATATATATATATATATATATATATATATATATATATATATATATATATATATATAGAAACA